TCTCCTCTTTTTTCTCCTTTCCTGCAGCTTATTCAGTGATCATGAACAGATTATGAATGGGACGGCGCAAGCTCCCGATCGAATTCATCAAGAATGACAAGTCGCGCCGGGAGACATTCAAGAAAAGGCTCAAGGGATTGAAAGGCAAAGCGGAGCAGCTCGCCACCCTCTGCAATGCCGAGGTGGGCGTAATCGTCATCTGCGATGGCAAGGTCCAGGAGGCCGGCTTCAGCGGCACTGCATCACCCTCAGCCGGAAGCGGCAGTGCTGCAGTGGATTTCAAGACCATCATCAGCAAATACGCCATGTATTTCTATCACGCCTACCACACCATGGCACTCCAGAGGATCTTGCATCCAGACCCTGGCAACAATCCTGCCCAAGTTGCAAATGGTGGCGGCGGCGGCGGCGGCGGTGGCCAACTTTTGGATCTCAACATGCCCGGAGGAAGCTTGTATCCCCCATGCAAGGTACCAATTGGTATGGCGATGGGAATGAGTGGTGGTGGTGGTGGTGGTAGCATGGAAACCATGGCTGGTTTCAATCACTTTGGGATGCCCACCACCATGTTTCCACTCCCGCTGGATCACAAGTTGCCAGTGACAAATGCCGAGCATGATCACCACGCTCCCGACGATTCCACGTCCGACTCGAGCAAATCATCCATCGCTACTACAACCGGCGCGCAAGAGCCACACAATCTCATGGATTCCAAGCCCGAGAATCACCGCTCCAGGAGCCACAACTTCGAGATCGACCAGCTTGGCTCCCACTACCCGGCTTTTCATCCTGACTTTAACGTCAGCTGTGGATTCCCAGGTGGTGGGAGTTACCAGGAGATGAATCCCACAGCACCAAACTTTGATCACAGCTTTGTCAATGCGATGATCACCTCCAGCGCCGCCGGCGGAGCCGCCACCACCACCACCACCACCGCCGGCAACAGTGGAGGAGATGGCAGCTCTCGCGGAGCAGCTATCAACAGCCTCTTCTTCGATGGAGCATTCCATTTCAACACACTGGATGACATGGATTTTGACAAGCATTGGGCCGATGATCCAGTTAACCCAGCTGCCGCAAGTAATCAGTCTTCCAACACTACCACCATCGCCACCGCCACCGCCACTCCCGAGTAAATCTCTGTTCCTCACTTTCTTTCGAGAGTCCTGTCTCTTTGTTGTTGTTGTTTGTCACTGAATTTCCATCACCACCATTTCCATCTTTGAATTCTTGTCGAAGGAGAAAAAGGAGATGAAAGCTCACTTTCTTACGATGTGGTAGGCCTCGGCCTCAAAATGCGGTGCATGTACTCCAGGATCTCGGGTGTAATCCTTCGGATCAAGTTTTGGTACCTGCGACACGTCGTGTGAGCGAGGATCTGAAGTTCTTTTCTTGGTGACGTACCCAGGGAGAGTGCAGAGCTGACTGTGCTGTTCTAGAATGAAGAGGACGCATGTGTGGCGCAACGAGACGGCGTGGAAGGCTTCGCCGAGCTCAAAAACGTTGGCAACGTTCTCGACGGTCAAGTCCTGAGAAAGCAAAGCTGCATTGAGTTTCTCCTCTGGAAATCAGCAGCATTACCTGGGCGATTGATTCCTCGCACTTTTGTTTCAGGTTCTCCAACAAGTACTGGTCGGCAGCTCGAAGAAGATCCTGGGCGATGTCGGAGCCAATTTCCGCCTGTCCCTCGTAAATGAACCTGAGGAAATGTGAGTAGTAACGAGGATGCCTGTGCTCAAAGGCTGACGTACCTCATCATCATCTCAAACACCTTCCAGCTTATGTTGGGAATTTCAATATCCTTGGCCTCCTTTTCCTATAGGAAGTTTATTACAAGGAAATGAGAGAAATGCAAAAGCGCATACCTTGTAGCCACCATCAAACATCGCTCTGAAAGCGTCAGACGATGCTAATAGTGCTATCCTATGGGCATAAAAGCGCCTTCCTGAAACATACAGTTGCGTTAGTCTAGGCAAATCGAAGGTTTATCCAACCTTCAACGAGGAATGTAACGTCCGATAACGTGCTATTGTTCACATATTTTCCACCAAGATATACCTGAGACAAAAGCCATGCTCAATAGTTAGCCTACAAGAGCTTAAACGCACACCTGTGGAGTTTCCGGCGCGGGGGCACTATCGACTGGAGAAAGCCCCGTTGCCTTCTTGGCGAGGGTAGTCAGTGCCAGAGCTCCGTCGCGTTGCTGCTTGGGACTAGAAAAACTCCCCAACATCTCTAGAAGGATGTTCATTCCTGCAGCATAGAAAAGCTGAGCCACAATTCGAACAGTGATTACGTTACCGTTATTTTCATGAAAGATTAATCTTTGGTCTTCCGGAGTGCAAAGATGTGCTAAGGTCAAGGCCACTCTCTTTTGAACTAGTTTATCAGGCTGACGCATCAGGTACAACAAATGCTTCAACACCTATGGAAATCAGAACCACGATGAGAAAACAAAATGTATAAAATCAGCACATACTCTTCCATGAAGCTTTTCTTCGAGTCTTTTGAGAGTCTTCGCCACACATTCTTTTGATGCCTACAACGGATCAATCTTTAGAAAAAAAAAAAAGGAAAAGAAAGAACAGTTTCGATCCTTACCTGTACAATAAGCTCACCGTCTTGTAGACTTTGCACACCACCTTCTTTCACAATATCAGAAACGTTATCCTGGCACAACACAAGAGAGGCAAAGAACATGGTACATCATAATCTTACACAGAAAACTCACCTCGTTATCTGCCAGACCATACAACGCAAAAGCAGCATTGTGCTGCAATGATCCGTTCTTAGAATCAAGCAGATCTAGTAACGGTCTTAAACCACCATCATGCACAATTCCTGCTTGATTGTGTGTATTCTGTATCATCGTAGAAATGAATCAGTGTAATGAACTCAACAATCAGATCAAAGCGTTGAAAAGCACCTGTGCAAGACGTCCAAGAGCGAAGCCAGCCATCTCCCTAAGTTGGGGGTCAGCAGCCTCGAGCATCCTTATCAAAGGTCGCACAGCCCCCCGTTGCACTATGTGCACCTGATAAACATTTCAATCAGCGAACGATACAGCAATAGCTCCCAACTTACTTTACAGTCAGGATCAGCTGTAGCAAATTGGCCTAGTAGTAGCGCGGCCTCACGCTGGCTTTCTTGGCACCTTGAACTGCTTCAAAAGATCACACGAGAGCTGTTGATGCACTAAAGTACTCAGATTTCCTTGCATACCTCAAAAGCCCAATTACCGGTTGCAAGGCTCCAGCGGCAAGCACCTCCTTTTTAATATTTGAAGATGAGTGAACAAGGTTCCCGATGACGCCAACCTGCGAAGCGAAGGCTTGAGTTCACACGGAATAATTTGTAGAAACCGACCGCTTCATAATGGATCCCTACGTCCTCAGACCGCAGCATAAAAATTAGAGTTGGTAACGCATTGTATTCGACAATCTGCGACAGCAGATACTAAGATGGACTGAATTCTTATAACAGTATTTTACCTGGTTTTTGTTAGCTTCGTTTTTGAAAGCCAGCGTCCGCAAAGCACCAGCCACCGCCCGCTGCACTTTCGGATCGTTTGATTCTAAAAGCTCTACCAAGGGTGGTATGCCACCTTCCGCCCTGCGACGGCACATCAAGCTTCTTGACACGAAAGAGATAAAGTCTTACCTCACTCTGGTTTTTATGCTTCCATTTTCGTGCGCAAGGTTAGTGATGGCATCAGCGGCTCTCCGGACGAGACCATTCACAACCCGTGCATTCTGGCCAGTTACTCGACGTTTTAGAAGAGAAACCAGAGAAGGCAATGCACCGGCATCGGCAATTAGCCGCTGGTGCTCCGGCTGTCCACAGAAGAAAATGTAAGGAACATAGGTGAGCATCAAAAACAAGCTAAAGAAAGAGCACCCGAACTGCAAGAAGACCCAACGCAAAAGCCGCGTCCTTCTCAACCTCATGCTCGTATGCAATCGGTCCTTCTCCTTCTTCTAAGACTGGCGCAGATAGAAATGGAACGAGAGCTTGCACCACTCCTTTGTCGACTATAAGATCTACGTGATCCTCTGCGAGATAAGAAACCAAACAGAAAAAAATCTTGGATGAAAAAACACGAGAAAGAACATCGAGTTCTTACCGTGTTTTGCAAGCTCTGCTAGAGCATGGGCCGCCTGACGAGCTGCGAAGCGATCGTTCTCCCTCCACGTCGTGCTCGTATTGAGCGTCTCGAGCAAAACCTCGGCGTCGGACAAGAGTCTAGTTCCAGGACCATCTTGCGGCTCCTGAGCCAAAGACGTCTCAGCCAGCTTTCTTTTGAGACCCTTCCTTTCAAGCCCGACGACGACAGCCTTGGATTCACTAGGATCTACCGATGCCATGGATCGCAGCGCAGCGGGCGAAAAATGCTGGCGGCCGTTCGATCCAGCTTCCTCACCGCGTCTTTTTCCTCACAAAGACCTCAGCTGCCATGCCTGCTTCTTCTAGTGCCCTAACCCCTGGAGCGAGAGATCCGAGCTCCGCCGCCGCGATTCCAGTGCCGCGCGACCTCTAGGCCGAGATTTCACGGACCTCCAAACCCGATTCCAACCGCTTTGCCGCATCAAGCATTCCTCTCTCCGCTCTTACCCTAGACAAATAGCCGAGAATATTCCCCGCCCAGGGATTAGCCAGTAATTCAAAATTCAAATCTCAGAGCCCACGCATCTTTCTCTGCATATACCTCCATTCAAATTTTAGAAGTAAAAATTAGGGCTCGAAATTTAGGGTTGTTGGGGAAGAAAAGGTCTGAAGAATATTCCGAAAATTGCTGGTTATAACAAATCAATAAACCCATAAGAAATCAAACATATTTATGTTAATCATTTATGAATACTACAAACCAACACAATACACATTATTAGTCACCTTTTAGCCAACTAGCTCTTCATCAAAACTCATAAATCATTACACCAAAGATATCTTTTATAAATTAAATAACTTTATCAGAAATGTGTTATATATATTAGAATATTAGCTATATAATAACTCTGTATATTTTACTTTTTCTCTTCATTTATAATTTGTATTTAATATAATTCTAATGTGATTTTTGCAATTAAATTTGTTAAACTTAATATTGTCAAAACAAAATCCTAAAAAATTTAATAATAAATTTCTTTTGAGTATATTTAATCATTTTATCTAGCAAATTTTTAGAGAAAGTTTTAATTATAATTAAAGTTTTCAAAAAACTGTTATATTTATAACTGGGCCTCAAATTCTCAGTAATTACATTTTAAATTTTCAAACATATGTATAATTCTTAACAAAATTATAATATTTAATTAAAAAATAGTTATACTTGTAAAATTTGTGTAATTGTTCAATAAATTTATACTAAATGTAAAATTCGATGAACAAATTTAAATAATTTACTGTAATTAACTAGTTTTTGCACATATTAATTGTCATGGACAAATGCATACCATAATTAAATGCATTTGAAAAAATTGCAACTTTAATTGATAACATCCATCATATATATTATAAAGCCAAATATAAAAAAATATATATCTTTGTTATAATGATTACATTTTTATTTATATACTATACAACTCTATAAAAGTCATGTAAAAAATGAAATTTTCTTATGGGTTTATTAATCAATGATGTTTAACTCATAAGATATTTGAGAATATACTTAAATATATAGAAGTATTTTTAACATTCCATAATTTATCCAAAAACATATTCTTACATATTTCATACTTATTAATAGATAAAAATTATAGTAATTTTACTATAAAAATAAATTAAATAATTTTAATAAAATTATAATAATATTTTTGTAAGAAAACTTGATCAAGTAGAAAGGAGAATATGACCATTATACCGAAAGCTTTAAATTTCATTCACATCCACACCGCAAAGAAACAAATTTAGTAACAACTAATCAAAGATGTCAGGTACTCCAATACTTCATGAAGTTAAACATTATAATCTAAAGAGAAATATTTATATTCACTCATTTGATTTCTTTTTTTTTTTCAAAGTCACACAACACAAAAAATTACTCATAAAAGTCAGATTTAAGTTAATTTTTTGCAATCCTCTTCATATTGGTTGCAATTAAGCTTTGTAACATCCCCACTATTATCAGCTTGTATATGTTGTTAGTGATGACCCAAGCAATAAAGGACAAATGTCAGTTTATGCAAGTAAGATAAAAAAAATTATAAATTTATTTAAATGTTTTCCACTTATAGTGCGCTTCTCACGACGAATATGTGGCCTTCCTTAATCATCTCTACTAAACTATCTAACATTGAGTCTTTTGTTTATATTAGTAACATTAATTATATCTAAAAAATATATTAGTAGCATTAATAATTATAGTGGTGTTTATTTGATTTTGTTTTTCATATTTGTTCCAAAATGTTCTCTTATGTGCCAAGCATTTATTTTCAAATGTGAGTTGCTTTTACAAGCAAATTGATATTATTATATAAAGCTGAACTCTATTGGTTACAGAGCTATAAGCTTCAATTAAATCTTTTTTGTTTTAAACATTGTTTTTGTGAGAGAGTTATGTATCAAATGCATTACAAGAGGTTTATTGCTGTCAAAGGTGAGTTGCTTTTATTTCCTAACACTGTTATATGAAACAGAACTGTATTGGATGTAAAGCTACAAACTTTAATCGGATGCTTTTATGACCAACATTGTTTCTGTAAGAGATTTATATACCAATACAGTTTGGCGTTGCTGAGCACCTATTTTTAAAGGTGAGTTGCTCTTATTTCCTAACAAGAAAATATTGATTCTGCTTTTCTTGCATGACGAAGCTACTAGCTGTGGGTTATTGCAGAACATGAAGCAGATTTGAGAAAGGAATGAGATGCGCAACGTGTAACAGACGCTGAGGTTCTTTTCTAACTTTTTTTGTTCTTCCAAGATCTGAAGATCTTTTCAGCATAATCCAAGCCGACTGCCAGCATCGAATAGAGACACGGCAAGTTTGTGATGCTCCAGCAGCAATACGCAGCCGTGGAGCAGCGCCTGGCAAGCACAAACGCGACAGCTGACACTTAAGGAGTTTGCGGCCCACAAATTAGCTCAGAGGCCGTCCTCGATGCCCCAGCCTAGATCCTGGTCGCAGCCACAAAATTGCCGAGACAAATACAAAGCACAGGTATACTCCATCTTTTCTAAGAAACTTGCTCAGGCAATTCTCTCTTCGTAGGAGAGCTCTTTTTCTTGTTCTGAAATTCTTTGTGTTTGTTTGAGTTCCAAAGCAAAACCCTATATGGGACGAGCGAACATGACTGTGGTTACGAACAAAGCATATTCTAGAGAAATATTCTAAAATCCATTGCAAAGCATACTCATCTTCACTTGCGTTGTGGGCGACTTGTGCCGATCAACGAGACCTGGATGGATTCATCCGGTTTGGAGATATCACCAGCGCCAAGGTAAATACACAAGATTCATAGCCCTTTTTGTTTTGAAATTCTCTTCTTTTCTCAATTAATTAGATCATGCGTGACGAGAAAAACTTGGCAATGGGCTATGGCCTCGTCACCTTTAGCAGCGAGAGAGGCATGCGCAAGGCCATTGAGAAGATGAACGGCAAGCCCTTGCCGGACACGGGCTACGAGGTCCACCTGCTAGACGTGTTTGAAGCAACGCCAGGGAGGGACTCTTGGAGCTGGGACACACGAGAGTGCGAGAGGTGTGGACTGCCTGGCCACTGCAAAAAGGATTGCAACTCCATTCCCCCTACCGATCCAAGGCATGTCTTTGCGGGAGAGCTCAAGCCCCACCCATTCAGACCTGAGGTGCGTTAAAGCTTGCAATTTCTCCGTGAAAGTTTGTCATCTCTCCTCCTTGTGTGTGTGCAAGGTTAAGCGGTACACGCTCACCCGTGAGGACTGGCCATGGGAGCCCCCGCCGCCTGATTACACCCAGAGAGAATGGCGGCAGGTGAGGAGAACGTATTGGAACATGACGGTCGCCGTGGATCCAAAGCGGCTCCAGGAGAACGTTTTGGAAGCCTTTGATCGCTATGGCCCCTGGGAGTTCTTCCACGATCCTATGGACAGAGCTGATGGTCCCCAGGATTATCAGGCCATAAGAGTAAGGGACTGGGACGTTTGTTTTCTAGTAAACAAAGGGTTCACAAAATTTAGAGATCATCGCTCTTCTCGTCTTTGGCAGCACCGTGCACTACGGTTGCAACGAAACCGATGCCTGCACAGTCGAAGCGGTTTCTCAGCGTTGCTCGGCCCATTTTGTTTTTTGGAGCTCCATCCGCCGAAGTATCGGTTCACAGCCACGGCCTTCGATCCGAGGTACGGGCTTAGAAGAAGGAACGACTCTGGATGATTCAGTGATGGCTCCTTGCTCTGTAGTCCCTCGGCCGCGAGCACAATCAGCCTACAATCAGTCTTACAATTAGCCAATGTATATATGTATTTTACACCTCCAAATTTTATATACTAAAGTAAAACTATATAGGCTTTATATTACAGTTTTTACAAGGTCATCTTTTCTTTCACGTATACTAACCATCTTGTTTATAGCATTCTTAACCTTTTCCATGCTCACATCTAGAAGCTTACCAGTATCTGAAGCTATGCAGTCACAAGAAGTTGCATGATTGGGAACAAACAGCTTAGCCTTCTCATCCGAAGAAAACAGTGCAACACTGCAGCACAATTACAGTCTTTAGCAAGTCTAGCAAGCAGCACAACGTTCCATCACTTACGTTGGCTTCTTAACAGATATTGCTAGTTGCAAAGCAGCAGTGTTGGTTGTGATCACTCCAAATGAATCATTTATAAGTGCTGCAAGCTGAAGAAAAAAGCGAAAGGCCTTCAATATTAGGAAACCAAGAAAATTTGGGAAAACCTGGCCAGGAGTTGTGATGAAAATGATGTGAGCATCGGGACCGATCACTTCTTCAACTTTGGACCTCTCCTTTTCGTGCGGGATAACGAACACAGGAACTTTACTGCTAAAAGCTCCCAGGAAATCAGCATTTGGCGATATAATAGAGAACGACGTACCTCAACGATTTTGCTATCAAGCTCCACCTTGACACTGGCAGCAAGGAGTCTGAATCCCCTCTCGACTTCATAGTTGCGGCAGAATCTGACTCTATGCCGTGGATGACAATAAACTCCCCTCTCCGGAGCGATGCCTCTGTCCATTTCTTGAGAATGACTCCTCTCAGCCTGGAAGATATTCCGACGGTCAATTGAGGAGGATAAATTCTGGGAATGCCTTTGGCGGGCTTCCCAAGCTCTTCATTAAGTTCGTGATACCTGCATCAAAAACTTTAGGCCAATCCTTGGTCGTAGAACTGTAAAAACTGTGACTCTGAAAACTTACATATGATAACCACCTTCTGCTAGATTCAACCTTGGAGCATCCACTGCGGCGTATAAGAATGGTCCAGCTCCAGCGCCGTTCACGTCGGGATATATGTAGCCAATGTTTTTAGTGCAGTCTGTGAGCCACATAAACAAGGCGTGGCCAATGCCTGCCAGTTTCGTAGAGACGATCATATCGTAGTACTCGTTCTGCAAAGATCAAACGATTATTTCGTACAGCGTCAAACCTGAAATATCAAAACTAATCAAAGAACACATCGAAGACTTGCAGCAAAAAACCATGAAACTTTCACAAAGTCACGTAGTAAACAAAACTTTAGAACAAAGAAGTATCGAAAGGTCACAAAGACGATCACGTAAATGCATGACAAAAGGATAAACGGCTACCTAGAGCGCAAGACCACCCAGAGAAAATAGTGAAAGATTTCCTACAGACCTTAACCATCGTGAGCATTTCCATGTAGAGCGCAGGCTTGATGAACTGCTGATCGATGTCAAACACCCAAGCTCTCGACACATTCTTGTTCATCTCGTACACTTGCTTGCCTCTCTCGCTCGCGATCACGTCAATCTCCACGCCAGGATATCTATCCTTGAGCAGCTCGATCACTGGGAAGAAGAGCAAATTTTCATACACTCCCCCCGCCACCAGGCACAGGCATTTGCGCACCTCGTCTCTCACCTTGGCCGCCAGGGGCCGGATCTCCGCCGTGTAGCCCTTTGGAACCTTGCGAAACCCCGACTTGGATTTGGGATCCAGCGGCGGGATGTACTCCTGCTCCGGCTGCCTCCCGCCCTCCGTGAACAAATTCCCCCAAACCAGGTCGGGATCCTCCTCGTTGAAGAGGAATGGATCCTTCCACTTCCTCTTGGCGGCGCCGATTGGCGGCGGCGCTGCGCGGCGCGATTGATCCCCCGCGAAATCCCTCCTGCCGCTGCCAAAATCTTTCCTCCTAGGTGCATTCTTGGAGAACTCGAAATCGCGCGAGGAATGCGAGGATAGGGCGGCGCTACTCAGCGAGAGTTGGGCTATGGCGGCCATCAAATCCCAGCCTTGTGAAACTAGGCGCTATATCCCAGAGGAATATTCCTTGGGCGGGAATATCCTGTGATAGGTTTTAGGGTTTAAGCGAGGAAGGAGAAGGTGGGGCTATGGCGCTGCTGACGATCACGGAGATCCACTTGGTGTGGGTGATCGATCGACCTATTTCTTTGCCTCTCATCGCTTTTCTTCTCTTGTTCTCTTAGGGATGATGGATTGATCTATGGATTGCACGATGGTACTGAAGAGCAAGCAGATTATGAAGAATACGAGGATTTCGAGGTGCTCTATCTAGATTCGTGATTGCTTGAGGCTTTGTTGACGATTTCTTTCCCAGGAAAATTCCTTGATTGAAGAAGAAGAGGAAGAAGAAGAAGAAGAAGAAGAAGGTTTGGATGCTTGTTCTTTCTTGCCTTTTACTCCTTGAAGGATTATTTTGTTCTCTCAGACTTGGCATTGGACGAGGAGCTTTTAGCGGAGCTAGCTGCTTTTGGACTGCCTTCCTCTTTCATCGTAGGCAATGAGGTTGTTTAAGTGGCCGTGGTGTCTCATATGGGTAATTTTGTTTCTAGGATAGTGTTCAAGTAGCCTTGTATAGATTCATGAAAAATTCGAGGCTGATATCTTCTTCCTTCTTTCTTCTTTTTTTGTGTTGCAGAAACCAAAGTTCAAGAAGAAGAAGAGGACCAAGGTAAAGAAAACACTGCAGATTGCTGATGATGCCGAGAAGAACGAGATAAGCGTGGAATGTAAGGGAGACACAAGGAGTGTCTGGGTGCCTGCTTGGGATGACTACTACAGTCGCTACTACTACTATAACAGCGAGAGCTTGGAAACGACTTGGGATGCTCCGGAAGGATTTGAGGACTACGCAAACTTTGATACGTCTCAAGTTCTTGAGGAGGAAAACGAAAATGAGGCCAGTGCTGGTACGGTGGACGAGGAAAACGAAAATGCGGTCAATGCTGATGCGATGGACGAGGATAATATGGCCATCGTAACCGAAACCACAGTCAAGTGAGTCTCACTTTACTCCGTTCTTCGTCTAACTTCTGAATCCTTTCTTGTCTTTAGGCTTGAGAGCATTTCAGTATCAGAGCTCTCAAAGGTGGAAAAGATCGTTGTGAAGTCACGAAGGAGAACAAAAATCACCAAAGAGCTGCGAGAAGCTGGAATCGGCCTCCAAACTGCGAAGTACTGGTGGCAAAGGTACAGTCTCTTCTCAAAGTTCGACGAAGGTATCAAAATGGACGAAGAGGGATGGTTTTCTGTGACACCTGAGGTGATTGCCAAGCACCAGGCCATGCGATGTTCCTCTCCGGTGGTGATTGATGCTTTCGCTGGAGTTGGCGGTAACACCATTCAGTTCGCTTTGAGGTGGGAGTTTTCAAACCGAGTTTATTGCGGGCTCACACAGATCTTGCTTCCTTTTTTTTGTCACAGGAGCGAGCATGTTATTGCTATTGACAAAGATCCCATGAAGATCGCGTATGCCAGGCACAACGCGGAGATTTATGGAGTGTCTCATCGCATTGATTTTGTTGTTGGCGACTTTTTCCAACTAGCACCGAGTCTCAAGGTTCTTCGTTTTCGTTTCTTTTCTTTCATTACCTCCAGTTCTCTCACAGGCAGACGTTATATTTCTATCTCCACCTTGGGGTGGTCCAGAGTACCTAAAAGACACAAGCTACGATATATCAATGCTTCAGCCAAAGGATGGGTAAGTGATTATCATATCGATTTCAATCTTTAGCTTGCTTATCAAAGTTTTTCAGATTCACTCTTTTCAACACGGCGCAAAGGGTCGCATCTAACATCGCCTTCTATCTTCCCAGGAATGTGGATCTCGAGCAGCTCAAAGAGCTTTCGTGTCTTTTCGATCCGCCAGTGGAGTTCGAGGTACATCTCTAGACATGTTCTTCTAATCGTTTGGACTGATCAAACGATTTTTATTTTCCTTCCAGATCGAGAAGAATTTTGTAAATGACAAGCTGAAAGCGATAACAGTGTACTATGGTGAAATTTGCCAACATGACCGTTAATATGCGAATCTTTTAGGGTATATTCTATCACTTGTGAAATGGGTTCTTTGGGGGAAGGAGGCGGCGGCGACGGCGTTGGCGCTGTGATCGTCATCATCGATTCGTCTGACGAAGAAGAAATCCAGGTGCGCGAGGGAAGTTACTCGATCCGGCAACAGCAGGGAGAGAATGGATCTCTCTCGCAAGCCGTGGATCTGAGTCCAGGGTTTAGAAATGCCGCGGCGATGGCGGGATGGGACGACGAGGCCCTGCTGGCGGTGTGGGATTGCGAGGCGGCGGCGACGCCAGACAAGAGCAGCGGCGAGAGAGGAGATCGAAAGAGGGATGTGAGAACCCCCGGACAAGCAACTACTCCAGCCAGTTTGAATCGAGTGTAAGTTTCGTTTCTTCTCTTTAGTTGATCTCCTTTCTTTTGGCATGTTTCTAGGCACAGGAAGCCTCGCCGACCGATTGATAGCTCGGATGTGAATTTAGAGAGACTTACGATACATGATGGTGGAGGTACTTCGAGTTTTTCTCGGTTTTTTTTTTCCTTCGTGTTCTACACACTCTTTTTTTTTTTTTTTGTATCAGATGGTGCTCTAGTGAGGAACTTGCAAAAGAAAATCGATAGAGTCGGGGAGGATGAAAGTAAGTTCTTGGGCTTGGTTTGGTTAGAATTTTTTTTATTTCTATCAGATGGTGCTCGAGTGGGCAACTTGCAAAAGAAAATCGACAGAGTCGGACAGGATGGAAGATCCGGAAGTAAGTTCTTACGCTTTATTTGCTTACAAAATGATCTTGTTGGTCTTCTTTAGCTTCACAAGAGAAGGAAAGTGTCAAGAACGAGATTGGCACTGATAAATCAGGTACAACATCGCAGGTTGCTGTTCTGGTTCTAAATTTTCTTCTACTTTTTCTCTGATGTTAGACCAAGGCGACAAAGACAAGGAACAAGGTGGAGCGGCTAGACCAGCTTGTCTGGACCAGCTTAGAGACGAGCTCTCTTGTGCCGTAAGTGGTTCTTACATCCTCCTTCATGCTACACGCTAAGTTTCTTTGAGCTTTCACAGGTTTGTTTGGATGTATGTTTTAAGCCATCGACAACTTCCTGTGGTCACAGGTAGCTATTGTTTTCTTTCAGAAACTCTAAAGATTCGATCACTCTTCTGTCACAAATTCCAGTTTCTGCCGGAGTTGCTTACAGTCCGCGGTCAGCAAGTGTGGCTTGCGCTGTCCAAAGTGTCGGCAAGCTATAAAGTAAGCAGCTCCTTTGTTTTCTGTGAAAAGAGAAAAAAGCTTTAATGCAGAGAGCAAGGAGCGATCAACGTCGTCTTGTGGAACACGATCCAGATCTTGTTCCCGGACGAGACAGCCAAGAGATCACAAGCCAAGAGGGAAGAAGAAGATGAAAGAACTTCCCGAGCGCAGCGAAGCAACCAAAATTCTCGCCAAGTTTCGGTCGATAGAAGCCGGCCGATTGGAAACTTTAGGAGGGTGGCAGCACCATTTAGAGCTCCTTCCCGGCGCAGCAGCGATCGCAGCTCCAGCGCCACTCCCATCGATTTAGAATCGCGAAGGCAGCAGGAAGAACTCGATAGGATCGTCGCGGAGAGGCTCCAGGAGGACGAGCTAAGATCGTCATCGTCTTCTTCTTCGGCGGAGCTCTTTGGATTTCACAGGAGACTAAGACGCGCGCATCGAGCACAGCTCTGACAAACAAACTCAATGTTAAATGGCACGTGGCCGCATATGATTGGCTCTTATTTATGAACAGTATATTCGTCGCAAATTTGATGCCCTAGATTAATAGGCGTTCTAGGGTTTTTGGTAACGAGGAGCTCCAGATCTGAGAGCTCAATTTCGCCGGGGTAGCTCGACGCGATGCTGGATTGCGCTAGGATCTGCTAGATCCTGCTCCGGATGATGACGAAGAACGGAATGCTCGAGTGTCATCGCTGCGGCGGCAAGCTGGGGAATGCCTCGCCTACGGTTCGCTCGATCTCAAAGGCGTATGACCGGCATCACTCTGACCAGGCGTCGCGGTTCCGGGGCCTCAGCATTCTTCTTGTAGCGTTTGATTGTATGCTCATTGCGCTACAGGTAAGAAATTCTCCATCATTCTTTTGTGGGGTAGAATTTGATCTATGTCGTTTGATCTGGTGTTCTTTGCAGCCGATCCTAGTGTACATGTCCAAAGTAGATGGGAAGTTTTTGTTTAGCCCGATTAGCGTGAATTTCCTCACGGAAATGACCAAGGTGGTCTTCGCGATTTGTATGCTCGTTTTCCAGGTGAGAAACGCCCGGGGTTCTCTTCTTCTCTGTATTAAAGAGTACTTTCAGGCACGCAAGCAAAGAGCTGGCGAGAGATCGCTCCTGAGTCCTCGAGTAATTTTTCAGGTTTTTAATTCGTCTTCTATCCTCTTTGATTGAAACTCACTCTATGCATTTGCTCCCAGGCTGCCCGAGCAAATCGTTTGCTTGCACTTCCAGCAGCCCTCTACGCAGTTAACAACTACCTCAAGTTCGCAATGCAGGTAACTCCGCGTGGTTTCTTCGTTTCTTTTTTCTGTCAAGCGCCTGCTCTACTATGTTCTGATTTTCTCTTGCAGCTCTATTTTAATCCAGCGACTGTGAAGATGCTGAGTAACCTTAAGGTTAGAGACATGTTGTTTCTTTCTTCTTATTGTTCTTGTGATGAGTATTTTATTGTAGGTGCTGATGATTGCCTTGCTTCTCAAAGTGATCATGAGACGCCGGTTTTCAGTTTTACAGGTGAAACTTCGTGCATTTTGCTCTTCAGGTGTTCTAACTTGTGGAAGCAGTGGGAGGCACTTGCTTTGCTACTGATTGGTATCAGTGTGAATCAGCTGCATACGACGCCAACTGGGACAACGGTCGTCGTTCCGCTTCAATCCATTGCATATGTATACACCTTGATTTTTGTAAGTCAGATTTTCTTTGTATGCTGTGCTGTTTGCTCAATCTACGATCTCCGTTACAGGTCACTGTGCCATCCATGGCGTCCGTGTTCAATGAATACGCCCTTAAGAGTCAGTTCGAGACAAGTGTTCATCTTCAGGTGCGTGTGCTACACGTAGTTTTTGTAAATGTTTTTTTCTCTGTTTCTTTTTGCAGAACCTGTTTCTTTACAGTTATGGAGCGATGTTCAACTTTCTAGCGATTCTGGTTACTGCTGATTTTAGTGGTATGGCCTTTACTTTCTATCTGTTTTTTCTTTTTCTTAATCCATATGCGCTTCGTCAGCTGGGAATGGGCTTAATCTTTTCAAGGGCCACTCTCGGGCAACAATGTTTCTAATCTTCAACAACGCAGCGCAAGGAATACTCTCTTGCTTCTTTTTAAAATATGCTGGTAAGTCTTGAACTTTTGATGTGGCGTTTCTATAGGTGCGTTTTTCCAGATGCAATCTTGAAAAAGTACTCTTCTACTGTTGCAACAATCTTTACGGCTTTGGCTTCTGCCGCCTTATTCGGGCACAAACTGACAATCAACTTTGTCTTAGGAGTATCAATTGTTATAATTTCTATGCACCAGGTATTCTCGTAGCTCTATTGCAAATACTCTGCTAACATAATAATGTAACAGTTCTTCTCGGCACTAAGCAAAACGAAGGACGAAAAGCTTGACAATCAAATGGACACGTTCGTTGACAAGCATAACACTTACACGAGGTAACCTTTATATTTGACCTCCATTTGTGCATTCTAACTTTTTTCCTTTAGGCCCAAGGATGACGCGTTTATCAATATGACTGCTGGTGCTGGTGAACAGGTATGAACTTCAATATTATTTGCTATGTATACTTACATCCGGTGCTAACAGGCAAACCTTAAAGTCGGTATACTGGATGACAGACAACCTTTGCTTCCTACTTAAGCTCGAGCGCAGTAATATAGCAGTGTTAGTAGTATATGGAGCAGCATACTGTACAAAACCGCGGTGATGGGTAAGGAGACGGTAACGTTTCCATTCAAGCCAATTTTTGCTGAGGAAGGTTTGAGTGGCTGTCTCAGAGCGAATGCACACGAGCTAAATAAGATGGGGGGGAAAGCATTTTCGTTACCCGGATCAATGGCTGTGATTTCCTCAAGTTACAACCGTTTCGTGTTTTCTTTTTCTTTTTCCAGTGATGAGGTGCCGTAGCAGACCGGGCTTGCTTGTTCTGTTCTATATTTTCGGCGTCTACAACTTGACTTGTCTCTGGAGCCACAGTGGTACAACAGGCAGCTGGCCTAAGAGTGCGGCCTTTCGGATGCTACTGTTACCCTGGATTGCCGCTGATAGCATCAACAGCTTGGTAAGTTAAATCCTCTTCCATTCGACTGATTGCTGTTTTCTTTCCTTCCATTTTTTATTTTTTTAGACCGCGGACGAGTTTCGCAATCTTCAAACTGTGCTGAAGGAAGCTGCTTTCAACAAGACTGTCATCGTGACTCCTTTGAATAAGGCTTGGGCATCAAAACTGCTATCCTACTTCCTGGCTAGCTTCCAAGACGGTGACGATACGACCCGCCTTCTTCCGACGCTGCTGATCTTCACGTTGGATCCATCTGCGCACAAGAAATGCCTGGAAGCTCATCCGCACTGCATCCTCCTCGAGAGCAATGGCGTGGACTTTTCAGCAGAGAAGCCGTACATGACCCGGGACTACTTGAGAATGACAAGGAAGAAAATATCGTTCCTGAGCATTCTTCTACAGATGGGATACAACTTCATCTTCTCGGTAAAACTTTGAACCACTTTCTCCTTGCCTTCCTGTACTAACTTCTTCTCCAGGAATCGTCTCCAGGATGCAGACGTCTTGTGGCTGCGAAATCCCTTCTCGAATTTCTCTCCGGAAGCAGACATGGAGCTGGCTTGCGATTTTTTCAATGGCAACGAGACGGACATTCACAACCTGGACAACACGGGGTTGATGCACGTGAGATCCAATAACCGGACGATCGAGCTCTTCAGGTACTGGGACAGGCACGCTAAGTTCTACTACCACATCCACGACCAGGAAGTCTTCGACAGGATCAAGCTCCACGCAGAGTTCCAGGCCATAGGAGCCAAGATCCGGTTCATGCCAACGGAGGTGTTCAGTGGGTTTTGCGAGCCAGCCAGCGACATAGAAAGAGTTTGCACCATTCACGCCAACTGCTGCCAGGGCCTCCGCTCCAAGCTTGCGGATTTGCAGCTCGTCCAAGAGGACTGGAACCATTTCATGCGGACCAGGAACAGAGCAAATCGGCCCAAGAGGTTTCGAGCTCCGAGGACATGCCTCAAGGGATGCTTCTCGGCCTTTACGTCGAAACCGTGCTACAGGTCTTGCTACAACAGACGTTTGAATGTTTCTTCGATGTCAACTTAAACTTGTTCGATGGGACTAGGAAAACTTGTTTTCATCAGATTTTCAATGAGTTCATGTAAGTGCATAATGCTTCCTATTTTGTGAATTGCTAGTTTTCACTCATTCATACAGAGATTTGCAGCTCAGCCGGGGAGTTGCAAAGTTAGCTCTGAAGTGTTTCTCTGTCAGGCCGACCGAGTTTTGATCCAATCGCTTGCAAAACTGCGAAGGGGATGAAACGAACAGCAACTGGATGCCCCGGGCACATCCTGCATCCAGCAGAGAATGGGATCATCTCCCGAAAGGTTCCACGGTGCTCATCAACATCTGGCAATCGGAAGAAATCCAAAACACTGGCCTAACCCAGAAGACTTTCGTCCTGAACGCTTTCCAAGGAACTGTGTAGCTGGCTAATGCCTCTTTCAGGATTGCGTGCATGTAAGGCAAGCCGGGGACATCTGAAGGCCTTAAGAGGCGCTTGGTCCCAATTGCGTCTTGGATTTCTTCATGCGGTTTTTGCATGACCAAGGGGTTCTGAATCACTTCTGCCATCGCCCAGTACAACTCCCTTCATGTTGTCAATTCAGCTGCAACCAGATCAAGAACTTTGCGTTTACTTACAGTGAGCAGGGCCATGTCTGAGAGATTATTATCAGCAGCGTCTTGCAGAGACAGAAGCACATCCGTCCAGTCCTTGGGAATGAATTCCTGGCCCGAGGATTCAATCTCGAGTTTGCAATTTTGGCATCAGATCGTCCCTTATTCTCCGCACTCGGCGGTATGAACTTCCCGTCTGCTTCTCAATCAGGCTGATCAAGTCCAAATAGAACCTGGCAGAACACACCAGAGATAAACTTACCTATGAATTCTCTGAGTTTGATGACTTTGGAGGCGGTGGCAAGACGTCCAACATCTTTGACCATGAGCTCCATTCCAGATTCTTGGTAAACAGCAGCAGCATCCAGCTTGGAGTGAGAAAGTGTAGAGATGTGATCATCTTCAGGTTCTTCCAGGACCATAAGGAGCAAGCATATAACATCTTTCCATTCAAAACTGAAGTTTTGGTTTTCCTTCCATTAGATAATTTGTACAATTTGTTTTTCATTTTTTGATGTTTTTAAGGGTAGAGTTTCTTACTTCATAATGCCTTTTAAAATATTTATATTCAACTTTTTAATTTTGGCCTTTTACATAATAATAAATTAATTATAGCTCAAATACAAACTAGTGTTCATTTTTTATAAAGTATTTAAGCTTATTTGGTGGAAGCTTTCCTTTCTTTTTTATTCTGTTGCAAAAAGGATTAATTTAGAATGTATTCCAATGTTAGCAAATATTAGTAATTACTTTTTTTCAAGTTTTTCTAAAAATAGATAAATAAAATATATTGCAGATATAGGTGGTTTTAAATGACTAATGAAGTAAGTCAAAATGGCCTTGAAGCTATATAAAGTTTTAATAAATACCTTAAGTTATAATGAAGACATATGAAAGCTATAATTAAGAAACTTAAAAGTGGTTGAAAGTGTGGTTAAATAACTAAAAGAAAATTTTATCACTTACACATTCTTCCAAAGTTTTAATATCAATAATGATATTTCTTGAAATAACAATAGCAGGATACTTATCTAAATAAACATATTCTAAGTTAAATATTTTTCTTTAGATTTAATGAGATTATTATGAACATTAGAGTAATCTTAAAATTTTATAGATACTTAGAGTATTCATATGTATATTTTAAAATGTTAAAAAAATATAAAAAATTCTTTTCATTAATTTATGTAGATTTTGATTTAAAATCACACAGGGTCATCTCTTACTTGTGCTATTAGCTTTATGATTTGAAATGGAGTAAGATTATGTGGAAACACCCATACATGTAAGATCATTGTGTTGGAAGAAAAGAAGTTGACATAATCTCTAATTTTGATGTTATGTGTAAGTAAGTATTGCCACTAAGCCATGCACAAGAGTTCCTTGCTCCCAATTTAATAGAGCATGAATTTTTTTCCTATAAAAAGAAAAAAGGCCATAAAAGTGTAAATGTGGGGAGGTATATATATAATGATATAAATATATTGGTATCCCCTCATGTAAAGTATATCATTTCACTATCCTGGCCTAACATAAATGACAACCCAATTCCCAATGCTTTGAAAAAGAAATGAGATGAAGGACCACATTCTCAAAATTCAAACCATACTAGTAGGCAATTTACCTAAAAATGTATTAACATTAACAAAACAATATGAGATTTGAACCCAAAAAGTTAGCAAATCACTGCACTACAGCTGTGTACCAAAGTGTATGTCATTCAAATTACTACAAAACTCTCAGTTCTTTAGCCATGGAAAGAATCTAAAATAGAAACCACATACATTACCACGTGCATTAGAGAAGAATTGGCATAAATCAATTACTTACATACAAATATTGTGTTATAATAATCTACACTCCCCACAATAGACTCACTATGACGATTACAAAGCTCAAACCAAAAAGCAAAAGCCCTAGAAAGAAAAGTTTATGCAGTCACTTTGTAAAACGTCCTAGCAAAATAAACTATTGTAATGCCAAAAATCTATATGGGTGATTAAGATTGAGAAATCAATAGAACTAATATTCTATAGCTACTATATGATTCAATTGTTTATTGTAAAACCATAGCACTCAACCAGCCAAAAAAAATTCTTTTTGTCATTGCCTAATGCCCTTATTGTGACACTTTAAGCACTATGTAGCCTAGATTAGTGCACAATTGTGGTATTATGCTCCAAGCACCAACACAAACCACAGGAATATTACAAGAATATTCCATAGCCTGTGGAATATCATGCCTTAAGGGATGGGAGGCCTACCTCGAAGCTTCTAAAATGAACATAGCCAAAAGGTGTGCTCTTGTGTGAGAAATAAGGGTGCTATTATGTGAGAAATACAAGTGCTCTTTCATGAGGAATGAGAGGCAAATGACATAGTTGAATATGTGTAAAGGAAAGAAGAGAGAAGTCACAATTAAAAAAACTCACAAATCAAAGTGGAAAAAGGCAAGAATAAAAAAAAACATTTACTAAATTTGTAGTGATATTATATTATTTGAAATAAAGTGGTATCAAACTTGCATGGCAGTCTAAAGTGTTAATGCCCCATGAATACATGGCATGTCCCACAACAAAAATATTATACATAGAATCATATTTAAATTGCTCTTATAGCAATTGAAAACTAAAAATACATCCAGTTGCCATATTTAAAAATGCCCATATATGCTTTGTGTATGGCAGGTTTCATATAGCACTTCACCTACAAGAATGAAGGGCAAAATGTCATGTAATGACTTCAGAACCTCACCTACAACTGGTCTTTGGGATGGCTTGCCACAACATTGACATATCAGAGCCTCCAGCTCTGCTTTTGGCTTCCCGATGGCAGGCTACGACAAGACCAACTGGGAGAATATCTTTCTAAGGCTGTAAAGGTCCACTGATCTTGAGTACACGCTCTCACCCTTTCTTCTACTTTCTTCACTCCACAGCTCGGGGGCCATGAAAATACTCATCCCTACTGGAGCTGTATGTGAAAGTTCAGTATTGAAGTTGATGCATGCAGTACCGAAATTGGCGAGTTTCAGGACAAGCTGCTCTTCGTCCGCATCAGTGAAATCGATTAGAACGTTTTCTGGCTTGAGGTCTCTATGCACAATGTCATTTCCATGCAGGAACTCGAGGCCCTTGGTAATCTGGAGCAGCATCTCAACCAGTTGCAAGTGCGTGAGCCCTTTGTTCTTGCTTGCATACTCTTTTAGATCCATCCTCATTACCTCCATGACCAAGTGGGTACAGCTTTCGTCAACCTTCTTGTAGTAGCCGATGGTTTGAACAATGTGAGGAGCAGCCTGTATACTTGATAGTGCGCGCAGTTCTGGTGGTAGATGATCAAACTCCTTGACTGCAACTAGCCTTTGATGCCACGTTCCTTTACGAACAACACCAAAGTTTCCTATACCGAGCATTTCCCCGAAATGAACACTCATGTTCTCCAAATTCAATTCGGGCAGCTCTGAAGAATTTACTCTCTATAGTATGTATTCAGCATAGTGACCTCTAAAATTCCCACATTAGGCCTGTTGTTTCAGTGCGGCTTTCAATGCTACATGCAAATTTGGCGGCAAAATCTGAATGCGACTTCCGCCAATGAGCCCGCACATGAAATGAAGTTCCTCAACGATCTCCTTGACTTCCAATTCCCTGCTGTATTTCACAGCAGCAAGCCACTCCCAATGCTCCTCAAGCTTGGGAAACTCTTGAATCAGCCCGTTCGCTTTCCTGATGAATTGTCTTAGCCTCCTTAAGAAGAGCTTACTGCCTGCATACCCTCTCGCCATTTCAACGCTAGCCTTGCAAACCAAACGCAACAGCAAGCATTGTTCCTTATGGACTCCGACAGCACGTGCAGTCTGATCTATGTTCGTCATGATCTTATCAAGTTCAGCTTCATGCTCGACGCTGTGAATTTGTGGTGCAGGGATTCGAACCCGAAATGAAGGATGTTCTTGATGGTCAACTGGGCCGTTCCACCATAGCTTGAGTGTCAACGAACCTCTCTCCATGGTTGCGATGCAGCCCAAGCTGATCTTCAGCGGCTACTCTCACTGCTCGGAATCGGAAGGCCCAGCTGAATGATGCGGAACGTCACTACACTCTATCTTGATTTTCGCCAGAGAACACCGATTCGTGTAATTGGCTTCGCTGCAATGCATCCCCCTCAACGTTGGGATCCAGGGTCTCGTTCCATTCCGGATTCAGAGTCCTGTGTCGTACTTGGGTCTTGACCTGCTGCCCGTCGAAACTCACCATACAGTAAGGACTTGCTGATCTGCATCCATCTAACAGCGCTACATATACCTGCACACCCCAAAGCCAGATATGAGAATATTCTGAAAATATTTCAGGGTTTAGGAATTTATATGAAAGAGTTTAGGGTTCTTGGGTTAGGCGGGAAAACGTATAAAAGAAGTTTCGTAGGTTCTCTATGGTCAAATTTAGGTTTTAGAGAGCTATGGAGGACATACTGAGGTCAATCGATGCGATTTCTGAGCTTGCGCCAAATGCCAAAGCGTATCCTCGTCTGTGCAGGCTGCTGTTTCTGGCATGCAATCAACATGCCCTGTACTGCTCCATGTGGAAGCAGATACAAAATGCCAGATTCCCACTATGCACACTCCCAGTTGCGGCATTGAGGCACCTTGCCCATGTATTGGATAGGGTGAATCTCCAGCAATGCAGTCATAAAGAGCACTGGGAGTGGATCGCTACATCCAGGTATGACAGGAGATACTTCTGTCAGAGCTTCAGGAATGTGTGGACATAATCAACTCGGACGCAATTCGAACGTCATGTCTTCTAAAAGAGGGTATGTGGATGAGCCGTGTTCTTGAGCAGCTGTCTGATATTGAGCGGAAGCAGGATCTGTATTATGACCTCCACAGTTTGGTAAACGAAGATTGTGCCGAATTGGTGAAGAATGCAAGTTCAGAGGAGCTTGTCAAGTACTTATCCCAAAGACAAAGTGGCTACTGTCCAAGAATAAACATGGAAGATTGGCCTGGTGGTTCAATCGAGGAGTGGTCTGATTTGAGACTTGGTTGGCTGGGTCAGGCTGTTAAACTTGTCGAGCTCGATTAAAGAGGTATTCCGAGGTGAAAGCTTATAGCTTTCCTCCTCTTTTTCTGTGCTTACCTTTCTCATGTCGTTTCCCATTGTTGCAAGATGTCAGACGAGTTGCAGAAGAGAAGGGAAATGAATGCTTTGATGAGAATCTCAAGGTGACGAAGGGTTCTTTCCTAGGTCCAAGTTCCTCTATTGTGCAGATTTTTGGGTGGTGCCACTGCCATGATACCAGGAAGCGTTACATACTTACCAAGAATTGCAACTGTTGCATAGTTATGGAGAGTGATGGCCACCACAGTCATAATAGTGAGGCAGTCACCATGTCTCACCTTTTGGAAGTCATTTACCAAGTTTCACAAACTGTTCTACACTTGCATAGACATGGTTTTTGGGAAGCTAAGGTTGACTTGAGGCTGTATAATACCATTGAGTTCATGGTTTACTGATGGTGACGGGAAAGGGAGAATGCGACAAGCTTGAAGAGCTTACTTTGTGAATCATTAAAACTGTTTGTGAAGCTGGCTAAAGCTAATTATGGTGAAGTTATATTCACGACAATTCCTAAGACTACTTTTGGTAGACTGTTTAGTTTGTAAGAGTTTTTGGTGATTGTTGCGAATGTGACTTCGGGTCTTAAAAGTTATTTGTTGGCCAGTCCTTACGGATACTATTTCCTTACTGCCATGACGGTAGGAGGTCGATATAGCTAAACCTTTTATCAGTCCCTCTTGTGCTAGTGGAATTAATTGGGCATTTCGAGTGTATTTAAACTAGATGAGCATAAGGATAGAATTCCTACGTATTATTAGCTAAGCATATTTAGCCTGGTAAGGAGTTCCCATCTCATTATGTCTTGCATTGGTTAATGATAAGAACCCTTGTGTATTGAGATTAGTCCCTCAATATTTCAAGGTGATAGTTTACCATGTTTGCCAAATGCCTCGCTATCATACCCTTTGTATTAATTTCATTCCGGTCCTAAATGCTATTTATAGAAAGTGTCTAGATTTGCTCATTTGGCAATGTAAAGATTGTTCTAACACAATGGTGTTCAAAATTTGCAATTTAAGAACATTCCATATTTAGTAAGTTTCAAGCTTGTCCCAGAGACTAACTCCTAATACTAAGGGAGGGTTGGGGTGAAAGCCCAAAGTGTGTGTTCCTCAAGGGGAAAGGGGGGGCTTAAGGGGGTTCCAAATGTATAATAGGGATAGTGGGTAAATTGGGCGTTGTTGACCAACCTGAGGCATAGTTTAACTCTTACTTGCGTGCCTATCCTTGTTTTGCATCTTATTTGGGTTTAATCCCAAGTTTTATTCTATGCTAGCTGGTGGAGTATCCATATCTTCATGTTAAACCACCAGTATGCTAAAATAGTGCTAGACTCCGTTTAGCTCTGTTTTGTGTGTTAATTCTGGTATTGAGATGTTGAATACTTTAGGATTATTCTAAGTTGCTTTATGCTTTTGTCCCTTTGCTCCCTAGGTTGTACGCTTAGGAGTCGTTCCATGCTCCAGTGCTAGTGCTCCTTGGCTCTATGCTTAGGAGTTTGGCACCATTCCTTTGTTTAGTGGCATAAGGCCTTGAAACTTTGGTTCCACACCACTGTCCTTTGAACACATGGCATGTGGCATGTGGCATGTTATATGGAAGGTTAGGTTCCACTTCGTGGTTATCCTATAGTAAATCACCATAGGATAAGGGGTAAAAACCACATGTGCTACAATGATGTTGCTTGGTTTGAATAATGCTTCAGTGACCTTCTAGCAGATTATGGACAAGGTTCTTTGAGATATGTTAGAAGTGATCGCTGACTTCATTAATAATGTCTTGATCCACTCAGAAGGGATGTGAGAGGAATATATCCATGATATTTGTAAAGTGTTGGATGTAAGCTTCTGAGTTTGGACTTCCCGGGAGGTCACCCAGCCCAGTACTATTCAAACCCAAGGACGCTTAACTCCAACTATCCCAAGACCCTTAACCGATTGGAAAAGGGGGTGCACTCTTGTTCATGGGCCCTTTCCCTCTATATTTGAACCCTATGGATCGTCTCTCAAGTCGTTCCCTTTGGTTGCTTACAATCCACCACGCTTCCTTGCAAGTTCACGCCCTCGTGAACGGAAGCTGAGAGCCGCAGCTCTCCCGAGAGCCCCGCTCTCTTGACACCCTACCCCTCGGGTCGAGCCCAGTGGGAGCAAACTGGACCAGCCAGATGTCAATCAACATGTGGTGTGATTCCCCTAGCCAACCAACAGAGTCGGACCCAAGACCTCTCTGATACCAAATGTAAGCTTCTGAGTTTGGACTTCCCGGGAGGTCACCCAGCCCAGTACTATTCAAACCCAAGGACGCTTAACCCCAACTATCCCAAGACCCTTAACCGATTGGAAAAGGGGGTGCACTCTTGTTCATGGGCCCTTTCCCTCTATATTTGAACCCCATGGATCGTCTCTCAAGTCGTTCCCTTTGGTTGCTTACAATGGATTGGCTATGGGAAGTTGGTTTAAAGTTGAAGCGGTCAAAATCTTTGTTTAGGTCCAAGGACATGACTTATCTTGGGTACCATATTTCTCGTAAGGGTTTGCAAATTAATCCTGACAAACTTATAGCTATTCTAAAATTCCTTACTCCAAAGTGTGTGAATGATATACAATACTTCTTAGGCAAGATGTAGTATTTCAGTCGTTTTGTAGATCATCTTTTTGATCGCACTGCACCGCTACAAGTGTTGCTGAAGTCATCAACATTATCTTTTATCTGATCTATGGACTGTGAGTGGGTGTTCATGGATTTCAAAAAGTTATTGACGACTCCTTTAGTTTTGGCATATCTTAATTACATTTGACCTTTCATTTTGCACATGGATGCTTTTGATATTGATCTTGAAGATGTATTGATGCAAGACATCCTATTGCATATATAAGCCGTACATTACAATTAGCAGAGGTGAACTACTCCACGACAAAGAAGGAGTGTTAATTTTAAGTATATAATTTCAAATATTTAGTATTTACACTCAAAAATTATTCTATTTGAAAGCTTCTAAAGTTTTGATATTTAAAGAAAATGCTCTTTAGATGTATTTCGTAATTTACTTAATCTTTTAGGGGTAAAAATGAACTATATAATTTAACACAGTAAAATTTGGGGAGTAGTAGTAGTCTGGGGTTTCGAGAAACTTCATGTGTATCTATATAATTCTCAAACATTATTGGAAGGTGATTATGCTGCAATTACTTCATTATTGAAGTGGAAGAACCTAGTTGGTTATATTACTCAATGGGATTTGAAGCTTTAGGTATATGATTTGATATTGTGTATCACTCAGGGAGTTCCATAGTTGATGTTGATACCCTTTTTT